TTCTAAAAATAATCACCTCGCTACAATTGTTATTCCAATTGTAATGTTTCCAGTGATGATCACTGCTTCGCCATACTCCCTAGTATCTTCTTTCTAAGACATTCTATTTCATCTTGTAGACGTGCAGCTTCAATTTGTAGATATAAGTTGCGCTTTTCTAGTCGATCATGCTCCTAAAACAATGATATTTTTCAGCTTTAGACCTACAATGCCACCATTAAAAGTCAATTAGTTTTGGAACCACGTAAAATATTATTAATCAACAACACAACGAATACGCGAAGATATTATTTGCTCGATAAGTGGCGATAAAAATGATAAAGCTCTCGATGTCGATCAATCCCTGAGAGATGTCCCATCCATTCTTCATTAAGCATCGTTTGGAGGTAAATGGATGCATATCTGGCCTTAATAATAGCTCGCGGACGCTTGCCAATGTATTAAACCAGTGCTGTTATTCTCCCAAATAAGTTTAGTACCAATGTGCCTACCTGAAGGGATAGAGGGCTTGGTGCGCTAGGAGCACGAGGATCGATCCTGTGTGTTGCAGGCCGTCCCCGACCACTGCGCCACAAGCGCCCTTCTAGCGATATAGTGTTTTAATAACTAGAGTAATTGGAGGCTGACGACTCTGATAATAAAATAGATATCATGGCACTGCTTTAAGGATTAATAAATCTCGAGAGCCTAACATATGCTTTTATATATATATATATATATATATATATATATATATATATATATATATAATTTACCACACTGTTCCTTTCTTTCTAAAACATGGCAAGATATTGATAAGGCAAAATAGTTTAAAATTATTCCGCGAATATTTGGTAAACTGTAAAGTTAAATCTTAAAACCTTTAAAGGAAAATTTAAAAGTGCTGCACTTCTTGTTCTACCATTCGGTTTCAATCCATATTTTCTAGTTATTTACGTTTATAACACTCTAAATATCTTTTACTTATCCTTTTAATATTTCTGGGACTTCATCAAGACCCTATATTACCATGGCGGTTTTCTTTCGAGATGAAAGCTAAATTGCAGGCACTTTTCACAACCCGTATGATATCTCACCTTCAAAAGAGCACGTCCTACACTATCATTCTGTAAGTGCGACCGAAGGGATCCTCGTAACTATCCAATAATTCAGTATTTTTTTTGATGAGCAAACACGGTCAAGCCGTCTCAACTTTTACTTAACGCCTGTTCTTATTCTTAGAAAAATATCATGCGAAATACAACCACAATGAAGCTGAGATATGAGATGAGAATAAGAACCTGAAGTGGGCTTCGACCCCGCGATTACACTTACTGAAAGCTCATGTACCATCTACTACACCAACAGTGGCCCTTGATTTGCCTTTCTCTCAGCCACTTTTCTACTCCAACAGTTTTTTTTAGCGTTGGTATGAAAAAAGAATGGACAGTAGTTAAAAGTCAAAGCATTGTGGTTTTGACTGCAGTTTCATCTTAATGGGTTCGATGCCGATTTGTTCTCCCCAGATTATTCCGTTGACAGGTTATCCTTGACTGCACTGGTAAAGTAAGAAGCCAGCCCATAGAAAAGCGAAGCACGTGACTCGGCTAGCGCAGTGGATAGCACGTGAGCTCTCGACAAGGATAATCACGGATTCGAAAGCTAACTTAGGTTTCGAGTTATGCTCACATCTCAGAATCCTTGAGATTACATTTCACATTCAAACTGCATCTCAGATCATAAAAGATTCCCCGTAGTACCCCCTACACCTTCGTCGAATACGAAAACACGTTTAACAACGCTGAAACGAACGAAATCCACCAAGAGCTACAACACTGCTCCCAACGCTCTATTCTACATCAGTGAAGCACTTCAACCATGTAGTGGTAAACAACGCACAACCAGTTGAAGCAAGCGTGGAGCGGTTGAACAATGTTTTCTGGAACTTAACCGGAACACACGACAGATAGCCGGAATGTGTAGTTCACTTCACACCTCAGATGCGCCACCCATCTTCGAAACCCAAGAAAACATGAATATACACACATGGCAAGTCGCAGATGGGCTGATCCAATACTAAGAAAAACAGATGGCAAATGGATGGAAAGAATAATATAGTAAAGTCCAAAAGAATGCAGACGACCCTTTCATCGACCACCCAAACCATGGGTGGACGTTTTTATCACTTACGTCAACAATCTGCATCCCGAGATAAGAACGACTGTTAATGGAATGTGCTTCGCAGACGCCACCTTGTTTGAAATAGACCACCACAATGAACGATAACTACACTAGACGAAAATCAATGTAAGATGTGCTGAAGTCTGCAACATTCATGAAAACAGACCACATAAGTAAACAACTAAATTTATATCCTTCCATTCATCATATGCTTCAACTGAGACACACCACAAATACTGCAAAAGGAAGCACAAATAACTAATGGGTAAAGGTTTAATTTCAAAAGCTTGAACTACGTTAACGTCAATTAAAGTCAATTCAGCGACGAGTGAAACAGTGTTGTGCCTCATAATCATTTGGTCTTCGATAGAAATAAATCAGGAGTGGGTTAACAAATGCATTTCAAATTACAGGACATACACATCTCCATCGACCACTTATAGATAGCTATGATATGGTTGTGAATGGAATCAAATGATTCCCCAAAAAGAACAATCATGGAAACCCACAAGTACTAGAGAAATTAAATGATTTATCAGTCTGTCTTGAGGTTGGAACTGCTGGACGGCTTCGGCTCAAATATTGTTGGAGTTAGTCTTTTTAAATCCGAATATAGAACGACACACAAATTTGAAACGCTGTTGGCCCACATCGATTTCAGAGACAATGTAGACTGTAGTAGCAGGGATGACAAGTTATACAAGACCATACCAGTTACCGAGCTTGTTAGCACACTGGCGACGAATTAATTACCTCAGGTTTGTTGTGGACTGGACCATGACTAATTTCAGCCTTTATAGAATTGCTGGTTTAAAAATAAACAATAGTTTCTTCTTGATAACTAGAAGACTTCACGGGCTGTGAACATGAACGGTTGTAGGATAGACTTCGATCTGTAGTTCTGTGGGTATTGAACGATCTTTGTGACACTATTTTCTATATGTTATACCTTTTTATCTTCTGCCTACTATAATTTCGCGGCAGGGTACTAAGCGAAATACAACCACAAGGTTGCTGAGATATTTGCAAAACTCTGGACCGCAGGTGTTTATGGTGGGGAACGAACGCGCTATTGTCCTTTCCGGGGAGTAACGCGTTCACCACCACACCATGCGGGTCCTTTGTTTCGCCTGTCTCTCAGCTATTTCTATTTATTTACTATATGTTTCTACGATATATCAAATAAACGTATCACTGGCAGCGCTTAGAAGTGTCCTGCAATTTATAGGCTTTTACTTCATTATTCTTCATACCCGCACACTCTGTATGATAACTGTCATTCACTATGACAATTAGAATTGGAATGGTTTTCCATAAGTATAGTACATGTATTTCATATGCATAGTATTGAAATGTATAAATTTTCTGTATATTTCTAAGTGCTGAACATGGTTTTTCCCTACCAACACCAAAAGCAACATTTGTGTTCTGCAAGCAATGAATTGATAACAAAAAGTGTAGGAAGAAATAGATCCCTATATGTGTTATACTGACCGAAATCGCAAATCCATTATGAACACCCATCTACAGGTGTCACTCGCCCCCAGAGCGTCATTAAAAATTCTCAGGGAGACTACAGATCCGATATAAACGCGTTTATCGACAACTCGCTCATGCCGCTTAAAGACAGCTGAAGTCCATCAATATACCTACCCAGTTACTGAGACCCTCCCAACGGTTTACCCACTTATTGTGGCTGGAGGGTGTTCCTGTGTGTCGGGGTGCAATGTACAGCAGGGGGATTCGTCCCAGCGACAGGGTCTCCGAAGCCGAGAAAGAGTCCGGCGTTTCCATCAGGAAGCCTATTCAAGAGTAAGCTAATGCCACGATCATCACCGTCCTGGTATCAAAGTCGCATGGTGGCAAATCCCCCTCTGATCCACAAGGGCTGCGACTGCTTGTGGTGGTTACGACCTGGGGCAGACCTTGGCCAGGTTGAGCTCGGGATTGCAGGGAGCCACAGCGACTAGACTATTAAAACTCCGAAAGAACGGAAATTATGCTGAGGCCCGCACAACCAGTGAAGATGGGTCATCCAAGTATCCAAGTAAGTTACAGAGACGTGCTATATTAATGCAGAGGATCTATTGCGGCAATGTGCAAAAAATTTCAATGCATGCGTCCAACGTTTACGTCTATTTGAGTTTATCGCCAACAGTTAAGAGCGTCTACAGCATCAGGTAGCCATGCCTTCAAAGACAGCTAGAACATGATTATGATAAGAACTCAGAACCGATTGGCATCGACACTAAACTGAACCAATGAAGCAAATAATTGCTTAAATGATTGCCGTAATACTTACAAGAACTGTAAAATTAAAGGCTATGAAACAACCGTAATGATTGTGAATAGTGTACAAACGATAAAATAAATAAAGCCCTCGACGTTGATCAATCCCTGAGGGATGCTCCATGCATTCGACTTCATTAAGCATCGTTTGGAGATGATTGAATGCATATTTGGCCTTTACAATGACTCGCCGTGGCCTCCCGATGTATCGAGTCAGTGCTGCTTTCCTCCTAGACAAGTTTGGTACCAATCTGCCGACCCCGGAGGGATGAAAGGCTTGGTGGGCCATGGACGCGGGGATCGATTCCACGTTTTTGTTGCACGGCACCTCCTATCACTGCATCACACGCACCCCTAGTGTAGCAAGTAGTGTATAATAGTGTATAAAAACTGTAAATTGTAAAACTTCCAAATAGTAAAATAAAACTTATTTGAACACGATGGAGTTAAGAACATATAATGCTCACAAAGAAGCAGTGTGGAAGCATATAGATGAGTGAACCTTCTATGCATGCACCAGAATAATTTAGAACCTTCACCATTCCCAAGAACTAAGTCCAAGTATCGCGTGAAGAATCACCTCTAGGTCGAAACAGTTCCTTGCAAATTGTAAAGTGTAGGGAACAACTTTTCTCGAACAACATTCGATCTCTATGTGGTGGGAAAACTAACGACAGAGGAAAAAAGTGTTACGAAAAAATCTGATTGGAAGAAGAAACCACCAGAAATTATTTAATTGGAAACCATTTCATGGCAGCCCAGTAGTAATCAACTCACATCGTTATAAATGTGCTAATAAAGTTCACTATGCGATAATAAACGCCTGCTTAAAAGTTGAAAGCTTAAATTGTTTTAGGCCAGATTTTGTTCACGCATCGTCGGTAGCGCATTAGTAATAAGAAAACTGGTGTGGTGGGGATGTTCACCAAAACATTTAAGGCTCACTTCTTTATCAGCATCCTTGGAACATTTTTGTTTCTGACGATATCTCTGGGCAGCGATTCTGTTCTGCTCTCTTTTTCTTTTGTTAATTTCTTCAATGCTCATATTTGCCAGGGTAAGTCCAGGTGCTCGTTTTGGCTTTGGTGTGTACTATAAGGAACAGATTAATCGTTAGTATCACCACTATCCAATTACTTTAGTATGAAAAAAAACTTGCCGAGGTGTTGAGCAATTTCCTCTTTCGATCGGGTTTTTCTTCAACCGCCTGTAGAACTACCTTGTACTCTTTGCCATCCCCACCCACGATAGTCACAGGTTGGTCGATAGCAAGGGATATGACGGGTACAGCAGATTTATCAGTGGTAGTATCTGCAGAATTTACGCTAGCCTAGAAAAAAGGTATATAGCTAGCAACAAAAGCGTACACCTCCATACACTGATCCGGTTTGAAATCTGGCCATAAAATTTCCTCCACATATTTTCATAAATTTTCTCAATACCAAGAAGATTAAAGTGCACAGTATAATTGAAATGAGCATTCATTAATAGTTTAGATTCATTAATTTGAAAACGTCAAATTACCAGCCCAAACGGTATCGCAAAAAGGAACAAACAGATTCTTATAAAAGGATAAAAAGCTCCCAACGTTGATCAACAACTGAAGCATGCGCCATGCATTCGACTTCATTCAGTATCATTAGAGGTGATTGAATGCACATCTGGCCTCTACAATGACTCACGGTGGCCTACCGATGTATCGTGCCAGTGCTACTACTCTCCCAGACAAGTTTAATACCAATTTGCCGACGCCGGAGGCACATAAGGCTTGGTGAGCCAGGAGGTGGGTTCGACCCCATGTGTATTGCACGGCGCCTCCGACCGGTGTGCCACGCGCACCCACTCTACGTTCTTATACATTGAATATTTTCAACTCCAAAGACTGAAACAGTCACCGTTTGAAAAGAACTGCATGCTCTTTCTGCACCGATTTCTGCTTTCACGCTTTCGTAGATGTCGTCGATGAATGAGAAGTCCGGTTCGCCCTCGAGCTGTGAAGACTGTTGTGAAGAATACGAAGCTACAGATCCTTGAAAATATAGGGTAATACGACCTCGCACTTCTTTTCAGATCATGTAGTGGGCAATCTCCTTTGTTAACTTCAAGCAGCTCATAAAGATCGAAAACACTGCATTGAGAAATGATTCACATATTGGTGCCTTTTTTCAGATCACTAAAAGAAACTATCAAACTAAACGAATTTCCGACCATCTTTTCCATAAGCGATATCTGCTCCGAAATCATCAATGTTGTGAGGGCATATCAGGTGCGAGTAGTCCAAAGTGAGATCAGGACTAGAACCACAACTATGAACAATGGGTTTAAAAAATCAACAAAAACAACTGACTCACATGCCAAGTTTACCGTCCGTACAGTTTGTGACGTGCTCGGGTAGTAGAGGTGGTTTTATGACGCTGTCAGATTGACTATGAGAAAAGGAGGGCACTCTAGATGTAGTTTGAGGTTCTCGGTCATAATAATGAGGATGAGGGCTGCTGAGTTGATGTCCGTCCGACGTGTGTTTAGAAAGTGGAGTAAAAATGCTGCAAACAGAAAAACGTTTAACGAAATTTTGAACTCTAAAACTGCTCTAGACTCTGCAAAAAAAATAACTAACCAACCTGCCGCCCAGTACGGAAGTGGGGGATACAATTCGAGGACGATCTTGCGGTAATATTACAGGGCCCTGATCCACAACCAAAGCAGGACGGGGATGGTCCAGACTAGAAAAGAAAATGCTGTATTTTCAAAAGAATAAAATGGATTAAAGACGAAGCATGTAGCAGACAATCCAAGCTAACCGAGGTAATGCTTTGCATGGAGTCGACAGTGGGGTCGATGTTGTCGAGAATTGAGACGGCGATGGCTGGTGCCCACTTAAAAACACACTTTCCTTCTTTATCAAACGTACTGCAGGGACGAACACCAGCTCGCCGACGCTGATCGCGCTCAGTCCATTCCTGAACTCATGGCTGCAGTTTTCAAATCGACCGTCATTTAACCTCGGTAGTAGTAAAATAATCAACATGTTTTTACATTGTTGAGAGTATACGAGGTTGACAAAGATATTTATCCCGGTTAACGTTTCGACGTCTTCATCTTCATCAGAGTAGATGGTCCGATTCGGTATTCCACACTTAGACACCACAAGAAGTTGACGAACAACTGTGGACCACCGACCCGTATCATCGTTTGCCGAAATAAACATCTTTATCAAGCTCGTTTAAGCTCAACAATTTAAAAACAGGGCTGCAGTTTTTAGCTGAATTGAAAATTGAAACAGTGGATGTGCTGCCTCAACAAAAACACGAGATCACAGTCATTAATAACTGAAATAAACCTACAACGTGGCTGTCGAAAGAGGACTCTTCAGCAAACCAAACACCACACGAGTCAAGAGCAGGCGTTGTCACGAATGGGCTCGAGAAGTATGTGCGTTCAGAATCAAAGAGAGATAGCTGTCGGTTCATTCTACAAAGTAAGATACGACATCGGTTTGCTCATTTAGGACAGTCTCATGTTCCAGAAGCGAAGTCCAAGATTACTCACTTATCGATAATCTGATGATTCCAAGCAAACGACTGGTTTCGTGCAAAACGACGAGGACTGCTTGTAGAGAGAAGTTTGAAGCTGAAAGTCCATGGATTAGTGGGAACTAACTATGCTCGTAAACGCATAGCATAAAATACATAAAAGTAACCAGACAGAGGCTAAAGAAAAACGAATAAAAAGGAGAGAAGTCCATCCAGAAATAGTTCCGATTTCCAAGGACATTTACACGCACATTTTAAACCGTCGCGCTGCGTAGATAACGAAAACTGCAAGAGAAATGCACGTATTCGACAACTTTTTCTGATATTCATAGCCTCGTTTCCGTGACAAGAATGTGATTGTCAATGCTGTTCTCGAAGGTGATCGAGCCATGACCGTAGTCAGGTGACATGACAACCGAGCCGAGACAGAACCGCGACAGACTGCGAAGAGTGTGGCGATCCGGCCGCGTTATCAATCGGGGCGACATCCCGTCGTTGTCCGACCTGCATCGTTCCTTCTGACCGAGAACGAGCGTGTTGACCGAACACCGAAGTCCACAGAGTGCTCGGATGAGAAGAGAACAGTCCAGGAAAACGACGATGACAATATAAGAATTTACAGTAGAACAAAAACGAGAAGACACTACTGGTGAACAGCACGCGATGCTTGACAAACGAGCCATTTCGCCTTGTTGTTCGAAGTGACAACGACTGAAACGTCATCAGACTGGTGACGTTCGCGTTGAATTGCAATGTCAGCCATGTGTGAAGCTAACTGACTTTTCGTTGGGGCGTGTGGAACAGTGGTCGGAGGCGCCCTGCAATACACATGGGATCGATTCCCGCGCCCCAGGCCCACTAAAGCCTTCAATCCCTTCGGGACCGGCAAATCGGTGCCAGACTTGTATGGGAGGATAGCAGCACTGGCTCGATACATCGGCCGGGCCACCGCGAATCATTGTAAAGGCCAGATATGGATTCAATCACTTCCAAAGATACTGAAGAAGTCGAATGCATGACGCATCCCTAAGGGGTTAATCAACGCCGAAAGCTTTATCCTTTATCGTTGCACTTTGGATGAAATGAACCACTATTTGGAAGTTGCCCGAGCTTTAAAATCCATGACTCTGTCAACTTAGAACAGCAGAGTCGCTGGTTATTCTTGCATTAAGCAACTAGCAACACCTCCAAATCATCATTTCCGACGAGCCAATGAACAACGTCAATGTCGGGATCTGAAAAAGCACTCGTCGCTACTCGTCTCAAATCATCTGTAAGAACCGAAAAACGATGGCGATGACGTCACCTACACAATGATTCCGAGTTCATGAAACAGAGGAACAAAGAGTAAATTTAGGGAAAGGTGTGTAACCACACAGGGTAATATGTGAGTGCAGCGCAACGAAGCACGTGGAAGTGTATGCTGTCTCTTACAGGTCCAGAAATACAAGACGCTGCCGCCTTCCGAGGAAAAAAAAACACTGCGCCTCCATCCGAACAGAGTTTTAAATAAATGTCCGGGCGGAGATAGAAAATAAACCAGCCGCTCGTGGTAATCGATAGGGGCGTATCCCTAAAACAGAACTGATAGGCAGAGGCTGACGAGCGCGGCGAAACACGAACCGGTCCCCACACCGTGGCCGGGCCGACCGTCTGAGGAGGAGACTGTAGAGGGATAAGCGGACGACACGTCGCCCGACCGCCGGAGATCAGCGCCGCCGGTGGAGCGCGATTTTGCACGTCGCAGACATCATCGCCAAATCGATTTTGGGGGGGGGCTATGATGTCGATGCCGTCCACGGCGTACTTTTTGCTTCAAAAAATCGGTTTACAACCATTGCGACGCAGGAAGATTAAAAAGTGCAAACGCCTGTGAAACTTATACCGCTCTTTCACATTTAAAATGAAATAGAACGTGAGCGGCAATTAGACGCCATTAGCCTCAAAGACGCGCGTAGCGCAGTGGTCGGAGGCGCCCTGCAATACGCATGGGATCGATTCCTGCAACCCTGGTCCACTAAAGCCTTCTATCCCTCCAGGGTCCACAAATCGGTACCAGACTTGTCTACGAGGATAGTAGCACTGGCTCGATACATCGGTAGACCACCATGAGTCATTATAAAGGCCAGATATGCATTCAATCAGCTCCAACGATGCTTAATCAAGTCGAATGCATGGCGTATCCCTCAAGGATTGATCAACGCTGGGAATTTATCCTTGCCACATACGTTCCATCTGATAGGTGGTAATTTTCCAATTCTTGATCACTGCTTGCGATTTGGCATGTGACATGGTCGTTGAGAGGTTGACCGACTAAGCGCGGAGTTCGGCAGAATTCACAGCCGTTATAGCAGCAGTCCTGGAAGTATTCGAGCCGCAACGCACTTAACCTCCCTTCGATCCACCAAGCCTTGTTTGCGGTGGAATACAAGGAAAGGACTTGGTAGCATTTGGGACTATCCCAAGATTCGAGAGAAAACCACTGTTGAGTAGCATTCACCATGTCATTAAGCACTGAAAATGACAGATATCGGTCGCTGTCGAATCAACATAAGAATTCGACCACCACCGTGAATTGCAGTAACAACACATCATACGAAGCTCGGTAATCTAAGCGCTACAAGGATAAGGTATATGAACTTTAAAAGGCTATAAGTTGATCATGAAAATAATGACGACTTATTAAACATGAGTAGTAGGTGGTCGAAGAAGATTGTGGTTTACTATGGGTGTTGTTACCGCTGGGAAACAATTCGCTCCAGGGATTTCACTCTTATCGGAAGTGTTGCCGATACGGAATTGTACTTATCTCAAGTGATATAGCTGTCTGCGTTAGCAGTTCGATGAAATAGTTTGGCCTTTCAATTGAGTTTGTTGACCCTTTCGGCATCTTTCCAATATTCTGGAAGAAAACGGCATTCTAAACGCACTCATCGTTTGCTTAGCTCTTATTTGCTGCATATTCTTTGTTCATGGCGCGGTATTATGTGAAATACAACAACAAAGATACCAAGAAATGAGCAAAACTCAGCACCTCAGCTGGGTTTCGAGCCTACGATTACCCCTATCGTGTATCTAAGTGCTATCCACCACTTCAACCCAGGGCCCTTGCTTTGCATCTCTTTCTTAGCCACTTTTTGCTCCAGCATTTAATATCCCTACCATGAAAAATGAATAAGCAGTAAATAAGAATTGATACATTGTGAATCCGACGGTAGCTTCAGTTTAACAGAGTTCAAAGCCGATTTGTGCTCCCCAGATCATTGCCCTCAATGGGTGTTTGGTGATAGCACCGTCAGAGCAAACAACCGTCTGAGAGGTAGGGAAAACGAGTTCCTCGGTTGATGTGGTAGGTAGCACTTGAGCTCTAGAAAAGGCAATCACGGGTTCGACCCCCAATTGATGTTCCCAGTTTTGCTTATACTTGGGCATCGTTGTGGATTTCATCTAGCCATAGTTACATTAGTTAATTGAAAGAATAATGTCTCTTCCAAACATTGTTTTGTAAGTTCCCATGTCTCTGCCGCAATTTTTTTAAAAATAAAATATGATGTATAGTAAAATATGGTAAAAGATATTATAATCTACGAACGTTGACGAGGGGTAAGTCAGTTTATTCCAA